TCTTGTCTAAGGGTAGTTTCCTAATATGGTCCCGTACCTCCTTTAAAGGGTGCTGATGTATTAAGGACTACCCTGAGATCTTGGCTTATCTTGGCTTCAAGTTTCTTTATGTCAGGGTTTAGGGTTTAGGGTTTAGGGCTTAGGGCTTAGGGTTTAGGGTTTAGGGTTAGGGTTTAGGGTTTAGGGACCCTCCAGTAGGGCCTGCATGTCTTCGGCTCATAATGCATCAGGTTCTTGGGCAAGCTCCAAGGCCGACTAACGCTTTTGCTAAGGGAGCCCACCATGAGGTGTAGTCTCTTCGTCGTATAGTATACGCTCGACATCGAAACACTAAACCCCTCAATCTCTGGATCCCCCAGGGTGTGAAGGGAGATTCTTCGACTTGTGGGCTTCCGTGCAGGTGAAATTGCTGCGGCACTCGTCTGCTGAAGGGCCGCATGGGCGCCCAACCCCTAAGCCCCCACACCTAAACCACAGGGGTTTAGGGCTTCACGCCTAAGAAAGGTCAAGAACGTCCTTAAAGTTGGAAAGAGAGGAGAAACGTTGAGTTCCCCAATCTCACCGCCCACTCAAATACATCACTGAGCTCATGCACTGGAACTATGAATCGAGACCCGCCCCAACATAAACCCTAACCCTAAACCCTAATCCTAAACCCTACTCACGAAGTCTCGGCAGACACTGCAAAGAATCCACGGTCTTCCGAATGACAGCTACGCTTGGCGCTTGATGTTTTTTGTTCAGGGTCCATCTCTCACCCTAAGGGTCCATGTACCTAAATAAGGAGTACTTGGGCCTTAAAGTACCTCCTCTTTAAGGACTTTAGGGCCCAAGTATCTAATAATTAGGTACATGGACCCTTAGGGTCAGCAACCAACAGGAATGCCAAGTCTCTTTGAACCACGAGCCCAACCCCAACAGCCAGAGCTTTGGACCCATTAACCCATATTGGGTCCCGTTCAACTTACAACCCTCTGAACATATGAACTGGAGGATCCGCAAAATTGAGGAACATGCGTGCCCTCAACTCTAAACCTTATACCCTAAACCCTAACGGAGGGTTCAGGGAGACCTTTTGGATGTGAACACCTGAAACAAGATGCTTCGAGCTCAGGGTTTAGGGTTTAGGGTTTAGGGTTGGGGTTTAAGGTTTAGGGTTGGCAATTTGAGTAATTTAAGTACTTTAAGCAATTTAAGTAATTTAAGGAATTTGTTTAATTTAAGTACTTTAATTAAATTAAATACTTTAATTACTTTAAATCCAAATTAATGAAATAAATAAAATGAATTTAAATCCAATTTTCGGATTTAAACCCTATTTAATTTAAATTCATTAAATGAGCGTGGCGGAGGCGTTTGGTGGGAACCGGAGGCATATTTTGAGATTCAGGATCCGAGGCTCATGAGTTTAGGGTCTGTAGGTTGAAGGTCCATTTGTCGGATTTCTTGAAAGGGCCATGGTGTGGGGCACCTAAACCAAAAACCCTACAGCCTAAGCGACCTCCAGGTAGGCCTACGTATACCCTAAACCCTAAACCCTAAACCCCAAACTCCTTTTTGACCAAAGCCCATGTGCAGTGGCAGGAACGGTGCCATCAAGCGGCGAAGTCGTTGCAACCTCAAGGCCCTCACACGGGCTCTGTGATGCTGCGTGTTGCTCGCACCCATAACCCTAAACCCTAAACCCTAAACCCTAAACCCTAAACCCTAAACCCTGAACCCTAAACCCTGAACCCTAAACTAAGTGAGGGGTCGCTTCCGTCGAGCGACAGACCCCGAACGCTCGGCCGAGGGCCTTACAGCCCGAGCGCCCAAGCGAAAAGAGAAACGGAAAGGTCAGGGTTAAGCCTCACCGTCTGTCCTGGACAGGCCAACGCACATCGGCCTTTTTTACGACAACGGGACGGGAATAATTCCCTAAGCCCCAAATTTCCTCCTTGAACCCCACAGTCCAGCAAAATCTCAAACCCCTAAACCCTAAACCCTAAACTCGAAACCCTAAACCCTGAACCCTGAACCCTAAGCCCCCTGGTTCTTAAGGTCCTCGAACCCCCCCCCCCCCCCCCCCCAGCGGGGCGGGCGCACTCAGGCTGTGCCTGTCGCAGCTGCATGTCAGGGTTTAGGGTTTAGGGGTTTAGGGGTTTAGGGGTTTAGGGGTTTAGGGGTTTAGGGGTTTAGGGGTTTAGGGGTTTAGGGGTTTAGGGGTTTAGGGGTTTAGGTGTTTAGGGTTTGGGGGATTAGGGGTTTAGGGTTTAGGGTTTGGGGTTTAGGGTTAGGGTTTAGGGCTTAGGGTTTATTTAGGGTTAGGGTGTAGGTGTTTAGGGTTTAAGGGATTAGGGGTTAGGGGATTAGGGGCTTAGGGGTTTGGGTTTAGGGCTTTAGGGTTTAAGGGTTAGTGACTAGGGGTTTGGGGTTTAGGGTTCAGGATTTGGGGTTTAGGGGTTTAGGGTTTAGGGTATAGAGTTTAAGGGCTTCGGGCTTAGGGTTTGGGGTTCAGGCTTCGGATTCAGGAGATTAGGGCTTTAGGGGTTTAGGTTTAGGGGCTTAGGGGTTAGGGTTTTGGGGTTGAGGGGTTCACACTTTAGGGGTCTGGGGTTCAGGTAAGATCCCACCACCACCTCAAGAACACACGTATCAACCTACCAACGGCCAAAGAATCGTGGGGAATGGCCAAGAAACCATGGGCAACAGCCAAAACAGGTTTTGGATCAGGGTTTAAGGTATAGGGGGTTCAAGGCTTAAAGGGTTTATGGGGTTTAGGTTTGAGAGGTTGAGGGGGGTTAGGGTTTATGGGGTTGGGGGGTAGGGGGTTTAGGGGGTGTAGGGTGTAGTACTTAGGGAGGCTAGGGGCTTTGCAGTTGAAACACCACACCCTGAACCCTAAACCGCAAGTTTAGGGCCTACAGTTCAGGGCCCCTTGCCTACTTTGGAGTAGACCCTGGAAAAAAACGTATGTACGCTTTAGATAAAAGTAGCTATGATAGGAACCCAGAACCAAAAAAGGCATTAAAGTCTTGACCCCAGAGTAACCTAGGTATAAACAGGGTGCCCTTTCTGCCTTAAAGGGAAGTATAAGGGACCCTAAACCCCCAAAAAAAGGGAATGAGCGCCTCCAAACCCTAAACCCTAAACCCTAAACCCTAAACCCTAAACCCTATTAAAGAATAGTACTCCAAACCCAGCCCTTCGCCACTACTCACCAGCCTGCGACCAGAAGCTGCCGGCGCGGAGATGGGCGTCATGATGCCACGCCTTCCGCACAGCTACTGAGGGCACCCCTAATTAAACCCCAAACCCTAAACCGTAGACCATAAACCCTAAACACTAAACCCTAAACCCTAAACCCTAAACCCTAAACCCTAAGCCCTTAACCCTAAACCCTAGATCAAGTGAACAAGCAACCCCAACTCCCGAAAAAGTGCGCCTCGTGATGGAAGGCGTGGTTTCGTTGGAGATCTCGGAGTACCTGCGTAGAAGGTTTTAGGGCTTGGGAAGCAAACCGTCTCCTATCCTACTTGTGCTTTCATACAAACTGAGTATGAGATGCTCGTTTCGATACCGGTTGCTTCTGGCCTACACTGTCACTTTTGCAGTCAAAGATACCCAAACGCAAAAGAAGGCAACATGCATAAGTTTTGAGTCGTTTTGAGCCAGTTTTGAGGGCCTCAATTAACTATATGATGCCTTTATTTGCAGCATGGCTTTGGGATCCACACTTGGCCTGAACCGCCTCTGGCCCGACAAAGCCCATCAGTGCCCAGCAGCACCCCTACACGCCGGGCCGAAAGCGCACGCTAACCTAAGGGTTCGAAACGCATGCTGTCCGGGCAAGGGGCTGACCGTGCTCGCTGAGATGTCATGCTGCATTCAAGTATCTTATTCGACAAAGAGCAGCCGTCGACAAAAGATATGACAAGCCTCACAAGTCAGAGCTGTTCACAGGCACACATTCCCAGACATTGGGGGGAGGGAGGAGGGCATTGCTGAATTTGCGTTGTCTCTTGTATTTTGGTAAAGCCATGTAGCCGTGTTTCCAGGGGTCAAGGCTGGGGGGGCTTCGGGTCAAAAAGTTCTTGCGCAATGGAACTCGAAACGGGGCACGCGGCATACTTTCGAGACTCAGGCTTTGGCTGTAGAATCTCAAGACCAAAGGATTTCGGGTTCGAAGCTTATATAGCATGGCCGAGCCTTCTGCCCACGCTCCGAGATTTGCGAGGCTGCCAACGTAGACTTGTGCCGCAAGACTCAAGCAAGCAAGCTCAGGGAAAAACCTCGTTTGGGAAAAAACCCTGAGCTCCGCCGACCTGCAAACTATACAGACCAGCCAGCTGCGCACACCCCACTGCCAAGAGACAAGCGGAAAACCCAACATCCCACACCCCACACCACACCCGAGCCAAAACCAACCAAAACCCCAAAGCACCAACCCGAGAAAAAACCCAAGCAAAGGAAAACCAAAGAAGACCCAGCACGAACCCCTGGCAGAGAGGAGGGCGAACAACTGGAGCAGTTGCAGGCGGCTGGAAAAGTAGCGGCCCTGTGAAGGCTCTGCAACAAACGTTGGAAGAATCCCCTTACACGAGCTTTTACGCAGGCCCTCCAGGCGCAGCGAAAGCCAAACGTGGAGGGGGGGGGGAGTGGGGGAAGTTGCTTTTACGCAGGCCCTCCAGGCGCAGCGAAAGCCAACGTGGACGGGGGGGGGGGGTGGGGGAAGTTGAGGGGCTCACCCACGCCCAACACAAGTACTCCTAGCATCTTCACACTAGGTTGCCCAGTAGCCTAGGATGAAAAAGGGTGTTTTTTTTTGCTTAAAGGGGGATATAGGGGAACCTAAACCTACCAAAAAGGGAATAAGGGGACTACTGGGCATCCTAGCACATCATGCAATCATTCGCTAGCTAGGAGTCTAGGAGTAAGTTAGTTTCCATTAATTATAGGTGCAGTGCGAGAGCACGGAGGATCTATGAAGACAACATCAGCGGGACTCTCTGGAAGTGAGATCAGATCACGTCAAGGGACTCCGGCTCGCCCTTGGCTTTGGTGATGCACCCGTCGTGGCCCTGGATGAGCACGAAGAGACCCATGACGGCCGATGCGATCACGATAAACCCAAGGATGAACAGGACATCGTCGGCCTCCGATGGGCCAAAACGGAACATGAGGCCCCAGCACACAGCGCCGACGTTGCCCCCAGCGCCCACCACTCCGGACACGGAGCCAGTTGCGGCGGGCTTCACGTAGGGTACGATTCCGAAAGTGCAGCCCTCCGCCATCTGAACACCGAGCGAGAAGAGCAGCAGGACGCCGATAGTCGCGCCCAGAGAGTCCATCTTGGTGAAGATCAGGAGCATGATGCCTTCCCAGACCAGAGAGATAGACTGCGCATAGATGCGCCCGCGCATGCCGGTGGTGCCCGCGCCGAACAACTGGAACAGCTTGTCAGATAGAGCGCCGCCCATAGCGCGAGCGAAGAGGTTCATGAGGCCGAACAGGGAGGCGATGAGACCCGCAAGGGAGACCGACAGCTCATACTTGGTCTCCAGGTACACAGCGAGGATGTTGTTCATGGTGACCTCAACGCCGAAGCAGGCCGCGTACTGGATGAATAGAATCCAGGCGTTGTACTGGCAGAAACCCTCCTGGAACGACTTCTTGGACGACTTGCGCTCCATTGTGCCCCTCTGCTCCAGTTCCTTGAAGTTGCCCTTCGGCGAGTCGTCCGAAAAGAAGTACATGCAAATGCCGGTACCGCATGTCAAAACTCCGGGGACGATGAAAGAAAGGCGCCAGGCCTCCTCGTCGTCAAAGCCAGTGCGGAACATGTTCCACACGCCGACCATGAGCAGCTGAACAGCACCGCCTCCAAGGTTGCCCCAGCCACCAGCCATGGCGTTGGCCGTGCCCACAATCTCCTTCGCGAACAGCTGCGAGCACCACGCCTGGCATGGCACAAAGGTCGCGCCCAGGACACCGATGACAAAGCGGATGATGACCAGGCCAGTAGCGTTGTTCACGAGACCACCGAAGAAGACCGGGATAGCTCCGAACGTCAGCAGCATGGAGAACATGGTGCGGGTGCCGAACCTGTCGCACAGAGGGCCTACAGCGAAGCGCATGAGCACGGTCGACGCCACAGATGCGATGTTCGCGTTGTACATCTCGTCCTTGGTCAGGCCCAGGTCCTTCTTGATCTGCGGCATCAGCGGCGCGAACGCGAACCACGACGCGAAGGCGATGAAGAAGCCGAACCACGCGAAGTGGAAGCCGCGCATGTGCGGCCGCTTGCAGGAGAGCAGCTTGATCTCGGTTGCGCGGTCGCCCTGTTTCGGGTCCACCTCGCAGTAGTAAGTCTCGTACTTCTTCCACGAGCCCTCGTGCTTGTTCGTCGTCGGGAGTACGCCGTCGGCGGCCTTCTCGGGGGTGGACATCTCTTCGGGGGTGGACATCTCTACCGCAGCTATCTTGCTTGCTACCGCAGCTACCTTGCTTGCTTGGAGCCTGCACTGCCGGAGGGAATGTCACTAGTATGGCCTTAAGAGAGGACCGATTAGATACCCCTTATATATACCCTCAAAACCCAAGGGGCCCATACCATTCCCTTCAGAGGGCCTTAACTACCCTAAACCCTAGCGCTACACCCTAGCCCGAAACCCTAAACCCTAAACCCCAAACCCCAAACCCTAAAGGGTCAAAAGACCCTAACAATAGCGACCCTTAGACATGTCACTTCCAACCGTCGCCTTCGAAGGCGAGGAGCTCCGCCGCCGGGTTGAAAATGTTTCGGGAAACCCTAAAACCCTAAACCCTAAACCCTAAACCCCAAACCCCAAACCCTAAACCCCAATCCGTAAACCCTAAACCACAAACCGCCTACACTGGCCTACACCCTAAACCCTAATCCCTAAACCCCGAACCCCTAAACTCCAAACCCCGAACCCTTATAAACCCCTAAACCCCTATAATCCCTAAACCCCAAAACCCCAAAAACCCAAAAACCCCTAAACCCCTAAACCCCGAAACCCCTGACCCCTAATCCCTAAACCCTAAAACCCCAAAACCCTGAAAGCGCGCCTTCGCTCCACTTGGCAGTCGCGCCGCGCTGCCTCAGCGACCTCCGCCTCCTTCACCTGTGGCCGCTTAGAGTTTACGGAGATTGGGAGTTTAGGAAGTTTAGAATCCCCAAACCCTAAACCCTAAACTCTGAGGGAGTCTGGGGAGTTTAGGGAGTCTACGGAGTCTTGGGGAGCCAACTCTGAACGGCTAGGTTTAGGGCTTAGGGTTATAGGGTATAGGGTTTAGGAGTTAGGGTTGCGGGTTGAGGGCTGAGGGGCTTCAAAGTTTCAGGGAGGTCCTGGAGCATGCAGAGGCTTTGGAGTGGGCAGGGCTTATAGAATTTTGGGTACCCTAAACCCTAAGACCCAATCCCCGAACCGTAGACCCCAAACCCTAAACCCTAAACCCTTTAAACCCTAAACCCTTTAAACCCTAAACCCTTTAAACCCTGAACCCTGAACCCTTTACCCTGAACCCTAAACCGTAGACCCTAAACCCGAAACCCCAAGGAGCATCTTGCACGGTAAGCCCTACGCTTCCTAAAGCTTCCTCAGCCTGAGGCCGTCAGCCCGCAAACGAAATCCTACTGAGTTCAGGTTTGGGGGGGGGGGGAGGGGTTTAGGGTTCAGGGTTCAGGGTTTAGGGTTTAGGGGTCAACCCCTAAACTTTAAAAACCGAACCCTAAACCCAAAACCCTACGCCCTGTAAAAACGCTACAAGGGATAGCAACCCTGCGCATCCTACCAGGAGGGGCCCCCCTGACTATACTGACTATTTCGGGGTGCGAGGTTGTGATTTAGGAACTTAGTCGGTTTCGGTTTAAGCTTTAAAGGCTGCTAGGGCGCAGGCCTTACTTTCAAAGACTGACCCTTTGGGGAAAGGAGGCTCCTCAGATTAGGCCAGGGCCGGGGCCTGATCAAATGGTTTTACCCTTCTTGGTGAACATATTCTATACGGCAAAATCTAGACAGGAATCTATGCTACTAGGCTCAAGAATAGCCTAGGGATTTAACAAGAAAGATGCCCCTTTTTGGGGGGTCAAAAGAGCAGTCGAAACCCGAAAAACTGAGGTCTATGAGGACTAGACACCACAATGGACAGTTCACATATTTAGATCAACGCCCACCATCTAAGCCTCACATAGTCTGCTACCCGAAGCGCTAAACACAAAACCTTAGGGTCCCTAGTCCCCAATGACCCCTGGAGCCCTAAACGCCCTTGTGGCGGGAAGGAGGTGGAGGGTTTGGTTGGGAGCTCGCATCCGGACTTTCTGACAGGGATTGGTGGTGTAGGGGTTTTGGGCCTTAGGGTTTAGGAACCCTGAACCCTCCGAGTTACAACTTCCCTGAACCACATGCACGCAACACAACTCTATCCCCAACCTTCGTTTCGAATTTCCCTACTCTTCGTCGGAGTTTAAACCCTTTGTTAAGAGGGCTGTGTAGGATTCGGGCTGCTCGAAGCCTAAAAGGTCTGAACCCGTCAGCCCTACTTTGGAGTAGACCCTGGAAAAAAGTATATAGTGTTAGGCATAAGTAGCTATCATAGGAACCCAGAACCCAAAGAAGGAAAAATCCTACACCCTAAGCCCTAAACCCTAAACCCTAACCCTAAACCCTAAACCCCTAAACCCTAAACCCTAATCCCTAAACCCTAAACCCCAATCGTACTCCAAAACCCACTCAACCCACAAGGCACGTCCGAGGCCTGCTGCCGCTCCGCAGGTTCGACTTGCTTCTGCCTGAGGTCCATCAGCTTTTTGAGTTTAGGGCTTAGGGTGTCGGACACCCTGAAGTAGGACCTGAACCCTAAACCCTAAACCCTAAACCCTAAACTCCAACCCCTAAACCCTAAACCCCAAGTATTCCCTATTTAGGAGCATGGACCTTCAACCCTACGCCCTAAACCCTAAACCACCCTACTACTCGAAGGGCGAGTGGGATTGCGAGGCTTGAGAGCAGGAATCTCGGTGCTCCAGTTTGCTGCTTTTGGCTTCTTGGGATTGAATTTTCTAGTGAGGGTTTGGGGTTTAGGGTTTCGGGTTAAGTTTAGGGTAATAGTTTTGGGTTTGGGACTAGGCTTGAGACACCAAAAAACTCACAACCGACAAACAGAAGTCCTAACCTGCCCTGACACCCCAATGATGGCAAACCGGATACAACCTCAAAGGCGGGTGGGCCCTTGGACTTCTACTCAAATCCTAAAACCCTAAACCCTCTTGCAATGTTTTGCGGGAGCGTTTTCCGGGCACTTGGGTGAGAGTAGGCGCTGTTAAGGCTTAGTTCTAGGGTTCAGAGGTGCCCAGGGCTGGCAAAGGCAGGGCTTCAGGGTTTGGGGTCTGGGATTTACGGTTTAGGGTTTAGGGTTTAGGGTTTAGGGTTTAGGGTTTACCCTAAACCCCGAATCCTAAATCCTAAGCACTTAAAACACGACACGTTGCAGAAAGCCTCAAAACACATGAGCTGTACCCACTAAGGGTGCATGTACCCCATGACTACATGCTTGGGCCCCAAAGTCCCTCTATAATAGGAAGTACTTTAAGGCCCAAGTATTCCCTATTTGATTTCGGAGCATGGACCCTACATGCTAAAAGCTAAACCCAAGTATTCCCGATGTAGGAGCATGGACCCTAAACCCTAAACCCTAAACCCTGAACCCGAAACCCTAAACCCTAAACCCTAGACATTGTTTATGCCACCACGGGAACCCTCTATCCTGAGCCCAGGAGAGGAGCTCAGGAGCTGGAGAGGACATCGGGAAAGACAAGCTGCGGTCTAGGGTTTAGGGTTTAGGGTTTAGCGTTTAGGGTTTACGGTTTGCGCACGTGCTGGTTTAGCTGACTTAGAGGCGGGGTATGCCGGGCATTTTGTAGATAAAAGTTTTCTTGTTTTAACGGGGGCTTTGAGGGAAGACGTTGCTAACTATTAAACTATTTGGGGGACCTGCATTGACATGTTAGGAAGCATTTTGGGAGAACGGGCGCAACCTATTCGAGAGCCAAGAGACTCAGAGAGGGTCCTAAACCCTAAATCCTAAACCCTAAACCCTAAACCCTACGCCCTAAACCCTAAACCCTAAGCCCTTAAATTAAATCGACAGAGCCATGTTAGGTCCAGGCGGCCATCGTCATCCGTGGTCTTCCGATGGCCCGAACTCCGGCTATCCTGGCCAAGTTCCCAGCAACCTAGGAGAAGAGAAGAGGGAAGAACCCTAAACCCTAAACCCTAAATCCTAAACCCTAAAGTTTAGGGCCTAACCACTTTTATGCATTAGGGTGTCTGCGAAGAACCTCAATCTAACAACGAGCCGACAAGAGGGCAGAAACAGCGCCAGCGCAAGAAGCAAGTCTGCAAAGAAAGCACAAATCGCCACCTGAAAAGCTTGCTGGTGAACCCTGATCCCTAATCCCTAATCCCTAAACCCTTGAAAATACCCTAGCCCCAACCCCCCTACACGGTCCTGAAAAACCCTAAACTCCTCCACCGAGATCGGTAAGCCCGGAACCCGACCAAGGATGCTGTGACTTCAGTTTTGGGAACCCTATCCGAAACCAAGACCAAATGAGGCTGAACGAAGGGCTCCCTCAAACAAATATCCGTTTGCCTGCCGCTGAGATTGATTGACCTCTCTTTCCCTCTCTCTCTCGCTCTCTCTCTCTCTCTCTTGCGCTTGCTTATTGCATCTTCTATATGATGTAGAGCTTGCATGTGAGATGCCCAAGCCCCCTCAGGCAACCCATGCAGGTCCTCGTTGGTCGAGCTCCGCTTGTGTGACGGAGATCGCTGTTGCGACGATGCCTTTGACAGGTTCGTGCCCGCGCGCCTCGGGAAAAGTGAGTAGCCCGCGGTGACCTCTCCAGCAAGCCCGATTGGGTTCGTTCGACAAATCCCGCAGGGTCCCTTCAGCCATATTGAGGGTATAAAAACCTAATGATCATGTCAGGGCGCAGGGCTCAGGGCTGAGGCTCACAAGCGTCCCCGCCCCTGCGACGGGACACACGCCATGTATAATCCTCAATGGCCAATAGCTCTAGTACAAGCCCTGACATTCTGAAGTGCTCTACGTATTGCAGCTTGTATCTTTTTCTGTATCTTTTTGATTCAGCATGTAGGTCTGCTTGTGAATCTCAGATGCTTGGCCAAGGGGCGACCGCATTGCTGACGATGAGCGCGCATGTGGCGTGGGGCACAGGGTGTCAGCAAGCAAACATACGGAGGCTTGGGGCTGTCTTGTCTAAGGGTAGTTTCCTGGGCCCTTAATATGGTCCCGTACCTCCTTTAAAGGGACCTGATGTATTAAGGACTACCCTGAGATCTTGGCTTATCTTGGCTTCAAGTTTCTTTATGTCAGGGTTTAGGGTTTAGGGTTTAGGGCTTAGGGTTTAGGGTTTAGGGACCCTCCAGTAGGGCCTGCATGTCTTCGGCTCATAGTGCATCAGGTTCTTGGGCAAGCTCCAAGGCCGACTAACGTTTTTGCTAAGGGAGCCCACCATGAGGTGTAGTCTCTTCGTCGTATAGTATACGCTCGAAATCGAAACACTAAACCCCTCAATCTCTAGATCCCCCAGGGTGTGAAGGGAGATTCTTCGACTTGTGGGCCTCCGTGCACGTGAAACTGCTGCGGCACTCGTCTGCTGAAGGGCCGCATGGGCGCCCAATCCCTAAGCCCCCACACCTAAACCACAGGGGTTTCGGGCATCACGCTAAGAAAGGTCAAGAATGTCCTTAAAGTTGGAAAGAGAGGAGAAACGTTGACTTCCCCAATCTCACCGCCCACTCAAATACATCACTGAGCTCATGCACTGGAACTATGAATCGAGACCCGCCCCAAAATAAACACTAACCCTAAACCCTAAATCCTAAACCCTACTCACGAAGCCTCGGCAGACACTGCAAAGAATCCACGGTCTTCCGAATGACAACTACGCTTGGCGCTTGATGTTTTTTGTTCAGGGTCCATCTCTCAGCAACCAAAAGGAAAGCCAAGTCTCTTTGAACCACGAGCCCAACCCCAACAGCCAAATAGCTTTGGACCCATTAACCCATATTAGGTCCCGTTCAACTTACAACCCTCTGAACCTATGAACTGCAGGATCCGCAAAATTGAGGAACATGCGTGCCCTAAACTCTAAACCCTAAACCCTAAACCCTAAACGGAGGGTTCAGGGAGACCTTTTGGATGTGAACACCTGAAACAGGATGCTTCGGCTGTCCCAGGCCCCAAAGCGAGCTCAGGGTTTAGGGTTTAGGGTTTAGGGTTGGCTTAGGGTTGGCAATTTAAGTAATTTAAGTACTTTTAAGCAATTTAAGAAATTTAAGCAATTTGTTTAATTTAATTACTTTAAATAATTGAATTACTTTAATTATTCTAAATCCAAATTAATGAAACAAAGGAAATAATTTAAATCCAATTTTCGGATTTAAACCCTAATTAATTTAAATTAATTAAATGAGCGTGGCGGAGGCGTTTGGTGGGAACCGGAGGCATATTTTGAGATTCAGGATCCGAGGCTCATGAGTTTAGGGTCTGTAGGTTGAAGGTCCATTTGTCGGACTTCTTGAAAGGGCCATGGTGTGGGACACCTAAACCAAAAACCCTACAGCCTAAGCGACCTCCAGGTAGGCCTACGTATACCCTAAACCCTAAACCCCAAACCCAAAACTCCTTTTTGACCAAAGCCCATGTGCAGTGGCAGGAACGGTGCCATCAAACGGCGAAGTCGTTGCAACCTCAAGGCCCTCACACGGGCTCTGTGATGCTGCGTGTTGCTCGCACCCTAAACCCTAAACCCTAAACCCTAAACCCTGAACCCTGAACCCTGAACCCTAAACCCTAAACCCTAAACCCTAAACCCTAAACCCTAGATCAAGTGAACAAGCAACCCCAACTCCCGAAAAATTGCGCCTCGTGATGGAAGGCGTGGTTTCGTTGGAGATCTCGGAGTACCTGCGTAGAAGGTTTTAGGGCTTGGGAAGCAAAACCCTAAGCGTATCCAGCTCCCACCACTTCTGCTATGAAACCGTCTCCTATCCTACTTGTGCTTTCATACAAACTCAGTATGAGATGCTCGTTTCGATACCGGTTGCTTCTGGCCTACACTGTCACTTTTGGAGTCAAAGATACGCAAACGCAAAAGAAGGCAACATGCATAAGTTTTGAGTCGTTTTGAGCCAGTTTTGAGGGCCTCAATTAACTATATAATGCCTTTATTTGCAGCATGGCTTTGGGATCCACACTTGGCCTGAACCGCCTCTGGCCCGACAAAGCCCATCAGCGCCCAGCAGCACCCCTACACGTCGGGCCGAAAGCGCACGCTAACCTAAGGGTTCGAAACGCATGCTGTCCGGGCAAGGGGCTGACCGTGCTCGCTGAGATGTCATGCTGCATTCAAGTATCTTATTCGACAAAGAGCAGCCGTCGACAAAAGATATGACAAGCCTCACAAGTCAGAGCTGTTCACAGGCACACATTCCCAGACATTGGGGGGAGGGAGGAGGGCATTGCTGAATTTGCGTTGTCTCTTGTATTTTGGTAAAGCCATGTAGCCGTGGTTCCAGGGGTCAAGGCTGGGGGGGCTTCGGGTCAAAAGTTCTCGCGCAATGGAACTCGAAACGGGGCACGCGGCATACTTTCGAGACTCAGGTTTTGGTTGTAGAATCTCAAGACCAAACCGCGCCTTCTGCCCACGCTCCGCGCGAGGCTGCCAACGTGGACTTGTGCCGCAAGACTCAAGCAAGCAAGCTCAGGGAAAAACCTCGTTTGAGAAAAAAACCCTGAGCTCCGCCGACCTGCAAACTATACAGACCAGCCAGCCTGCGCGCACACCCCACTGCCAAGAGACAAGCGGAAAACCCAACACCCCACACCACACCCAAGCCAAAACCAACCAAAAACCCAAAGCACGAACCCAAGAAAAAAACCCAAGCAAAGGAAAACCAAAGAAGACCCAGCACGAACCCCTGGCAAAGAGGAGGGCGAACAACTGGAGCAGTTGCAGGCGGCTGGAAAAGTAGCGGCCCTGTGAAGGCTCTGCAACAAACGTTGGAAGAATCCCCTTACACGAGCTTTTACGCAGGCCCTCCAGGCGCAGCGAAAGCCAACGTGGAGGGGGGGGGGGGGGGGGGGAAGTTGAAGTTGAGGGGCTTAGCCTCGCCCAACACAAGTACTCCTAGCATCTTCACACTAGGTTGCCCAGTGACCTAGGATGAAAAAGGGTGGTTTCTTGCTTAAAGGGGGATGTAGGGGAACCTAAACCTGCCAAAAAGGGAATAAGGGGACTACTGGGCATCCTAGCACATCATGCGTAATAATAAGTCAGATTACATAAATTATAGGTGCAGTGCGAGAGCACGGAGGATCTATGAAGACAACATCAGCGGGACTCTCTGGAAGTGAGATCAGATCACGTCAAGGGACTCCGGCTCGCCCTTGGCTTTGGTGATGCACCCGTCGTGGCCCTGGATGAGCACGAAGAGACCCATGACGGCCGATGCGATCACGATAAACCCAAGGATGAACAGGACATCGTCGGCCTCCGATGGGCCAAAACGGAACATGAGGCCCCAGCACACAGCGCCGACGTTGCCCCCAGCGCCCACCACTCCGGACACGGCGCCAGTTGCGGTGGGCTTCACGTAGGGTACGATTCCGAAAGTGCAGCCCTCCGCCATCTGAACACCGAGCGAGAAGAGCAGCAGGACGCCGATAGTCGCGCCCAGAGAGTCCATCTGGGTGAAGATCAGGAGCATGATGCCTTCCCAGACCAGAGAGATAGACTGCGCATAGATGCGCCCGCGCATGCCGGTGGTGCCCGCGCCGAACAACTGGAACAGCTTGTCAGATAGAGCACCGCCCATAGCGCGAGCGAAGAGGTTCATGAGGCCGAACAGGGAGGCGATGAGACCCGCAAGGGAGACCGACAGCTCGTACTTGGTCTCCAGGTACCCAGCGAGGATGTTGTTCATGGTGACCTCAACGCCGAAGCAGGCCGCGTACTGGATGAACAGAATCCAGGCGTTGTACTGGAAGAAACCCTCCTGGAACGACTTCTTGGACGACCGGCGCTCCATTGTGCCCCTCTGCTCCAGTTCCTTGAAGTTGCCCTTCGGCGAGTCGTCCGAAAAGAAGTACATGCTAATGCCGGTACCGCATGTCAAAACTCCGGGGACGATGAAAGAAAGGCGCCAGGCCTCCTCGTCGTCAAAGCCAGTGCGGAACATGTTCCACACGCCGACCATGAGCAGCTGAACAGCACCGCCTCCAAGGTTGCCCCAGCCACCAGCCATGGCGTTGGCCGTGCCCACAATCTCCTTCGCGAACAGCTGCGAGCACCACGCCTGGCATGGCACAAAGGTCGCGCCCAGGACACCGATGACAAAGCGGATGATGACCAGGCCAGTACCGTTGTTCACGAGACCACCGAAGAAGACCGGGATAGCTCCGAACGTCAGCAGCATGGAGAACATGGTGCGCGTGCCGAACCTGTCGCACAGAGGGCCCACAGCGAAGCGCATGAGCACGGTCGACGCCACAGATGCGATGTTCGCGTTGTACACCTCGTCCTTGGTCAGGCCCAGGTCCTTCTTGATCTGCGGCATCAGCGGCGCGAACGCGAACCACGACGAGAAGGCCATGAAGAAGCCGAACCACGCGAAGTGGAAGCCGCGCATGTGCGGCCGCTTGAAGGAGAGCAGCTTGATCTCGGTTGCGCGGTCGCCCTGCTTCGGGTCCACCTCGCAGTAGTAAGTCTCGTACTTCTTCCACGAGCTCTCGTGCTTGTTCGTCGTCGGGAGTTCGCCGTCGGCGGCCTTCTCGGGGGTGGACATCTCTTCGGGGGTGGACATCTCTACCGCAGCTATCTTGCTTACTTGGAGCCTGCACTGCCGGAGGGAATGTCACTAGTATGGCCTTAAGAGAACCCCTTAGATACCCCTTCTATATACCCTCAAAACCCAAGGGCCCATGCTGTTCCCTTCAGAGGGCCTTAATTACCCTAAACCCAGCCCTACACCCTGAGCCCGAAACCCTAAACCCCAAACCCCAAGCCCTAAAGGGTCAAAAGACCCTAACAATAGCGACCCTTAGGCATGTCACTTCCAACCAACGCCTTCGAGCCGTCTGGGAAGGCGAGGAGCTCCGCCGCCGGGTTGAAAATGTTTCGGAAAACCCTAAAACCCTAAAACCCCAAAAACCCCTAAACCCCTAACCCCTCATCCCTAAACCCTCAAACCCCAAAACCCTGAACGCGCGCCTTCGCTCCACTTGGCAGTCGCCCCGCGCTTCCTCAGCGACCTCCGCTGTGGCCGCTTAGAGTTTACGGAGATTGGGGAGTTTAGGAAGTTTAGAATCCCCAAACCCTAAACCCTAGTCCCTAAAACCCTAAACTCTGAGGGAGTCTGGGGAGTTTAGGGAGTCTACGGAGTCTAGGGGAGCCAACTCTGAACCCTGCATTCTCGGGGCGGTTGCGAGGGGGGCTAGGTTTAGGGCTTAGGGTTATAGGGTATAGGGTTTAGGAGTTGGGGTTGCGGGTTGAGGGCTGAGGGGCTTCAAAGTTTCAGGGAGGTCCTGGAGCATGGAGTGGGCAGGGCTTATAGAATTTTGGGTACCCTAAACCCGAACCCTAAACCCTAGACCCTACGCCCTGTAAAAACGCTACAAGGCTGACAACCCTGCGTATCCTACCAGGAGGGGCCCCCTGACTATACTGACTATTTCGGGGTGCGAGGTTTGTGATTTAGGAACTTAGTCGGCTTCGGTTTGAGCTTTAAAGGCTGCTAGGGCACAGGCCTTACTTTCAAAGACTGACCCTTTGGGGAAAGGAGGCTCCTCAGATTAGGCCATGGGATGATCTGGGGCCTGATCAAATGGTTGTACCCTTTTTGGTGAACATATACCATACGGCAAAATCTAGACAGGAATCTATGCTACTAGGCTCAAGAGTAGTCTAGGGATTTAACAAGAAAGAAGCAGTCGAAACCCGAAAAACTGAGGAATCCGGGCCTACTCTGGGTCTATGAGGACTAGACACCACCATGGACACACCCAAAAGGGTTCACATATTTAGATCAACGCCCTCCATCCAAGCCTCACATAGTCTGCTACCCGAAGCCCTAAACACAAAACCTTAGGGTCCCTAGTCCCCAATGACCCCTGGAGCCCTAAACGCCCTTGTGGCGGGAAGGAGGTGGAGGGTTTGGTTGGGAGCTCGCATCCGGACTTTCTGACAGGGATTGGTGGTGTAGGGGTTTTGGGCCTTAGGGTTTAGGAACCCTGAACCCTCCGAGTTACAACTTCCCTGAACCACATGCACGCAACACAACTCTATCCCCAACCTTCGTTTCGAATTTCCCTACTCTTCGTCGGAGTTTAAACCCTGTGTTCAGAGGGCTGTGTAGGATTCGGGCTGCTCGAAGCCTAAAAGGTCTGAACCCATCAGCCTACTTTGGAGTAGACCCTGCAAAAAAAATATATAGTGTTAGGCAGAAGTAGCTATCATAGGAACCCAGAACCCAAAGAAGGAAAAAATCCTAAACCCTAAACCCCAAACCCTAAACCCTAAACAACCCCTAAACCCTAAACCCTAAACCCCAATCGTACTCCAAAACCCACTCAACCCACAAGGCACGTCCGAGGCCTGCTGCCGCTCCGCAGGTTCGACTTGCTTCTGCCTGAGGTCCATCAGCTTTTTGAGTTTAGGGCTTAGGGTGTTGGACACCCTGAAGTAGGACCTGAACCCTAAACCCTAAACCCTAAACCCTAAACTCTAAACCCTAAACCCTAAACCCCAAGTGTTCCCTATTTAGGAGCCTGGACCTTAAACCCTACACCCTAAACCCTAAACCACCCTACTACTCGAAGGGCGAGTGGGATTGCGAGGCTTGAGAGCAGGAATCTCGGTGCTCCAGTTTGCTGCTTTTTGCTTCTTGGGATTGAATTTTCTAGTGAGGGTTTGGGGTTTAGGGTTTCGGGTTAAGTTTAGGGTAATGGCTTTGGGTTTGCGACTAGGCTTGAGACACCAAAAAGCTCACAACCCACAAACAGAAGTTCCAACCTGCCCTGACACCCCAATGATGGCAAACCGGATACAACCTCAAAGGCGGGTGGGCCCTTGGACTTCTACTCAAATCCTAAAACCCTAAGCCCTCTTGCAATGTTTTGGGGGAGCGTTTTCCGGGCACTTGGGTGAGAGTAGGCGCTGTTAAGGCTTAGTTCTAGGGTTGGTGCCCAGACCTGGCAAAGGCAGGGCTTCAGGGTTTAGGGTCTGGGATTTAG